GATAGAGAGCTTAGCAGCATGGAAGGAGATAGAGAGCTCAGCGACATAGAAGGAGATAGAGAGCTTAGCGACATGGTGTAAAGATAACACTGTCTCCATCAATGTCAGCAAAACGAAAGAGCTGGTCATTGGCTCCACGAAGTGGGGTGGAGGACACGCCCCTGTCTGTAGCAATGGTGCTGAGGTGGGGGTGGTTGAGAGAGCATCAAGTTCCTGCGGGTAAATATCACCAACCATCTGTCCTGGACCATCCCGGTCAACGCTACAGTCAAGAAGGGACAACAACGACTCTACTTCCTCAGGAGGCTAAGGAAATTCAGCATGTCCATAAAGACTCTCACTGATTTTCATTGATGCACCACAGAAAGCATTCCAACCGGATGCATCCCAGCTTGGGTATGGCAACTGCTGTGCCCAGGACCGTGAGAAATTACAGAGAGTTGTGAACACAGCCCAGTCCATCACACAAACCACCGACTCCATCTACACTTCCCACTGCCTCAGGAAAGCAATCAACATCATCAAAGACCCTCCCACCCCCCGGTTATAATCTCTTCTACCCTCCTCCATCAAACAGGAGTTTGAAAACATGTAGCAACAGATTCAAGAACAGCTTCTGCCCCGCTGTTTCTAGATTTATAAACGCACCTCTCATATTAGAGTTGATCTTTCTTGGCACTTTTCTCTGTAGCTGTAACACTATATTCTGCATTCTGTTCTATTAACCTGATGTACTTACGTAAGATAGGATTTGCCTGGTTAGAATGCAAACTAATACTTTCCACTGTATCTCGGGACATGTGACAATAATAAATCAAATCAAATCAAAATCACCTCCTCACAGCCCCCTGTTTCTCACTGAGATCATCTTAGAGAATGCTACAGCTTAAAGTTTAATACTAAATAAAAACCGAAAGAACTGTGGATGCTGTAAATCAGGAACAAAAACAGAAGTTGCTGGAAAAGCTCAGCAGATCTGGCAGCATCTGTGAAGGAAAAAACAGAGTTAACGTTTTGGGTCTGGTGACCCTTTCTCAGCACCCAGAAACATTACCTCGGATTTCTCTCCACAGATGCTGCCAGACCTACTGAGCTTTTCCAGCAACTTCTGTTTTTGTTTCAGGTTAAAGTTTATTGTCTTTTTCCAGTTACCTGATCTCTTTCTATCGCCACTTCCTGCATTTGCTTCAATGTTGCTTCAATGCGATCTCTGTACATCTGGGAATCCTTCTGTAGAGTCACACAACGCAGCTGAAACACCTCCTTCTCCTCTAGGTACTTCACACAGAGAGAGACAGAGACTGGGTTATGAAGGAGCACAGTCTGCTGACAACGTGATCCCAGAAATGTTCTTCCCACTTGAAGCAGATTAACACCAGGAGGAAGCTACTCCTGGGAATAGTCTTGTAAGACTAAAGGGGGAGGGAGAGCAGCCAGAAGTCATTGTGCACATTGGCACAAATGATGTAGGAAGCAACAGGGACCAGGTCCTTCAGAGTGATTATAGAGAGCTCAGAAAAATGTTAAAACCAGGAACTCGATGATGGTAATCTCTGGATTATTTCCAGTGCCACATGCTAGTGAGGATAAGAACAGGAGGATACGGCTGACGAATGCGTGGCTAAAGAATTGGTGCAGGGGACAGGGATTCAGATTCTTAGATCATTGGGATCTTTTCTGGGGCAGAGGTGACCTGTTCAAGAAGGACAGGTTGTACCTGAACTGGAGGGGAACTAATATCCTGGTGGGGAGACATGCCAGTGCTGCAAGGGAGGGTTTAAACTAGATTGACAGTGGGATGGGATCCTCAACAACAGGGAGGCAAGTGCGAGATGCAGTAATCAGAAATAGCAAGTTGAAGAGACAGGTCAGGGAGCGAGGAATGCCTGTTCGATTAAACTGCATCTATTTCAATGCAAAAGGGCTGTCTGTTAAGGCCGATGAACCGAGAATGTGGATAGGTACATGGGACTGGGCTATTATAGCCATTACAGAAACATGACTAAGGGAGGGACAGGACTGGCAGCTTAATTTTCCAGGGTAAAGGTGCTTTAGGCAGGACAGAGGTGGAAGAAAGAGGGAAGGGGGAGTTGCATTTTTGATTAAGGGGATTATCACAGCAGTAGTCAGAGATGAAATAATTGAGGGATCATCCAGTGAGGATTTGTGGGTGGAGCTAAGAAATAAGAAGGGGATAGTGATGTTTTTGGGGTTATACTAAAGGCCCCCAAATAGTCAACAGGAATTAAAGCAACAAATATGCAGCGAGACTGGAGAGACTTGCAGGAGCAATAAAGTTGTCATAGTGGGGGATTTTAATTTTCCTAACATAGACTGGATTGGCATATTGTTAAGGGCTTAGATGGGGTGGAATTTGTTAGACGTGTTCAGGAAAGTTTCCTCAAGAAATGTACAGAGGATCATACTCGGGAAAGAGGCAGAACTTGCCCGACTCTTGGGAAACCGGGCAGGACAGGTGACTGAGGTGAGAGTGGGGGAGCACTTTGGGACCAGTGACCATAGTTCGATTAATTTTAAAACAGTTATGGAGAATGACAAAACTGGTCCACAGGTTCAAGTTCTAAATTGGGGGCAAAGTTAATTTTGATGGAATTAGACAGGACCTTACAGGGGTTGATTAGAGTAGTTTGTTTGAGGGCAAAGGGACCTCTGGCAAGTGGGAGGCCTTTAAAAGTATGACAGCTGGAGCTCAAGGTTTATGTAGACAAACAGGAAGCTGGAAGAACATAGTGAGCCAGGCAGCATCTGGAGGAAAGGAGCAGTCAACATTTCGGGTATTACCCTTCTTCAGGGCT